CAGCACAGTCTTCGCAAGCAGCACTTGGTCCTCTTAGTGAACCTCCTCAAACTCCAGATGAAATTCTCCTCCTCCACCTGGCTGTCTTGAGAATGTAAGCAAGGGATTCCAAGATCTACAGATTAGGTAGTCCCAGGGAGAACTAGTTGGGTATTACACTCCAGATGTCTTACCCACTGGGAATCCTCGGAGAAACTCCTGCATAATTTGTACTTCATGCCTGACAACTCCTCTCTCTGGATTATACACCGCAGTGCTGGGGAAACTGTGGCCAAACAGGAACACCCTCTTCTGTTTGGTGGTTCTGCCCACATATTACCAATTTTTGGACTTCAGTTTTCTCTCTAGCCTCCTCCATTATCAAATCTCCATTTCTACCTGATCCTAAAGTGGCACTATTATGAATAGGCATGGATTCCTGGCCCCCCAAATTTCAACCTGCTCTAACTCATCTAGCGGTCAGACTCACAATAGCAAGTTGGAAGCAAGCAACACCCACTGACATCTTAAACACTATACATACCCTAAATAATCATGCCCTCTTTGAACTCGTGTTCGCCAAAGCACATCTTCTAGACAAATTCCTTAAGAAGTAGTCCCCCTGGATAACCCATCCTTTTTCCAACTTAATCATATGAACCCTATTTGAAACCCAATTCTATTTATGAGCAAAGAATCCATCCCTCTTCCCATACGGCCTTCTAACAGTATAAGAGATTAATAACTTCCGTATTGTAATAGTTCCCCCCATAATTTCTGAATTGCTATAGATATTACTATAGTCCCACAGATACAAACATACATTTTTGGTTGTCATACCTGCTTATTTGACCATGTTCCCTTATTCATCTCAGTAGAATAAGGAAAATAAGGGGCTTATAAATAACACGTATCGCTAAACGTACATTATCTGCCCAGTAACCAAAAAACGTACAGCAAAAACAAAAGAACCTGAAAAGAGATTCACAGAAAAGCGGTTACATAATGGACAGAATGCGATACTCAAAGTAATAAAAAAATTATGCTTTATTACCCAATGCACATATGGACAGATAAGGTAAATACCTCTGTAGCCATCACCTCAGTATGAGATAATACATCAAAGTATGACCTAAAATCACTTAAAAACAGATGTCATGACCAGTCAAAGTAATGAAGTGCTGCAAATATAGTGACACCAGGTCTAATACATTTGCAGCACTGACACAATGGTTACACTGCCAAAAAGGGGGTGTTTCAAAAATTGTACCAAAATGGCATAACAATCAATGCAGTATGTGGCTGATCATAAGTACCAGACAATGGAAATAGTAGCCCAATAAAACCATAACAGGTATATATTGACTGTAGAGAGATATATAGAGACAATCTACCTCCACATCCACTAGCTGGGTAATAACCAGAACAGGTAGTAGTTATGGTAGGCTTGGTATGGCAAAAATAGGTGGTGAGGTATCAAACAGCAGCAGTCATGTCCATAGTACTTGATAAGATGAACTTGATAGCCGTAGTATTGTCACCATGTGACTTCCACAGTGTAGTAGAAATGGCAGGGACTTGCCAATATGTAAAGGGGTTCTTCACCGCAACGTGCAGGCTACACACCTCCTTAACCCCTTCTGGCCCTTTAAGAGTTTCAGGAGGCGTGGTGGGTGGGGCGTGGTTTAGGGATCATGTGACGACGCGTCACGGCGGTCACATGATCGGGAAAGGTCCCGATTGAAAGAGCAGACCGGGACCTTTCCGTGAGTACCGGACATGTGTGCTGGCAGCACGCAGGGCGCGCGCTCTCAGCACATATGTTTTTTCTTACATGAACGCAAATGTGCGGCCCGCTCGGCGTCTAGGCCCAGACACCAGGAGGCCGCACATTTGTGTGCGGCCAGCGTAAAGGGGTTAATGATAATGATGTAATGTTGAATACAGGAGAATCCGTGCCTGATAATAAACATAGGGTGCTGTGCACCTTTAGGTAGTATGACATGATGTCCCCATCCTGGGATAAATAGGTGACATATGGGAAGTCAGTAGGTTAGTCACTTTAAATACTGTAGATAGGCAATTGCGTTATATGCTGTATTCCCATTTACATGTGCTGTATATCACTCACCACACATGCCTTAGGTGATATTCTTGCAAAGTTTCCCTCGTCAGGATAACCACACATAGTCCCAGAGGCAACCGCCACAATCGGGACTAGAAACAGACGGGCTCCGCTCCCATCCTGGTACTCGTGCAGCCTGATACCGCCTAATGCCGGCCTGCATTACCGCTTCCCCTGAAGGACTGCGTATGTGGCGCCAAGGCATCCGACCAGAAGTGACGTATCTGACGTATGACATCAATGCGTTTCGCCGATGGGTGTATCTTACTCAGCTTTGTCAGGACCAATGAGATGCCTACCTTACATGCATTATTTATAATAGGCTTGTAAATGCCCATATATGTAAATCAGCTGGCTGCAATTTAACTAAATTACTTTCAGGATCATTTGATTTAATATCTTTAAAGTGTTCACCTATTCATACTTTAAGCTGCCTTTTAGTTTTACCAATATACATTTTTTTTACATGGGCAATTCAACATATATAATAGTCTAGCTGTAGAGCAATTTATGAGGCTTTGACTTTTAAAATAGCCTTATTATTCGAATCAGAGAACCTATCAGTGCAATCTACAAATTTACAGATCTGACATTTTCCACATCTAAACATCCCTTTAGTGCGTGACGTAAGCCATATTCTCTTCCCACTGTGTAGCCAGGTATCTGTATATCTATCTGTGTTCTATGACCATTTATTTGCTGATTATTTTAGTTCTTTCCCCATTGAGTTAAATTGCCACCAGCTGATTTACATATAAGGGCGGTCACAAGCCTATTATAAATAATGCATGTAAGGTAGGCATCTCATTGGTCCTGACAAAGCTGAGTAAGATACGCCCATCGGCGAAACGCGTTGACGTCATTGTAGCAATTGTATGCGCAGAGATGGACGCTGTCATCCATCTTACTACAGATCCTCCATCTTGTATCATTCTCTCTCCCTCCAATCCCCCTCCCTCAGGAATGTGGTCTGTATGTATGCTGAGATCACAAGCATCAGGCACAGCAGGATAGCTTCCTGGTTATAAACCCCAATTAGCCTGGGCCCAGTATGTCTTTGAGACTCTTGCTTGGAGGTGATCGTAACGCTATAAACCAGTCCTTCACTGAACATGAAAGACATTCCGAGATAGTGGTAAAACAGACATCACATTTAAAACCCACTTTTCCATATAATTTCATATCTTAAGATAGGAAATAATTACAATGAAACAAAGCATATATTCGGATATCTCAGTTTAATGCGAGTTGCCTGATATCTTACACCCCTAGTTAAAGTCTACAGGAGAGCAGAAAGCCATATAGTTCTAGCTGAAATAGTAAGATATGGCATGTTTGATGTCGGGACATTCAGGATATCATTCTGCATATTAATCTACTAGTGGCTAGGCTGCTACATGTACCTAGGGAAGGTTATTGACCATGATATAAACTGCGAGGGATTTGGTCATAGCCTGAGTTCCCCGCCTAAAACACCCCTCCCCAAATGAGGCGATTCGTTCTCTGCTTTAAGGAGACACCCTGCTGAGTTCCTAGAAAAGAGGCTGTTATGCTTGGAGCAGTAAGATGAAGAGATCTCCGTTTTACCATCAGGAACCAACTTTGGGAGAAAAGGCACCCTTTTGGCTCAGGACCCTTGAAGCTGCTTGTGACGGAAGCGTAGGCAGGTGTCAGGAATGGACTCGCCAATAGTGGTGGGACTCACCTGCCTTGTGTGTTGCAGTACCAGGACTGGCCAGCGGGTGCTCTCAACAACCAGAGGCTCACTCCGGCAATTAGCCACCACCTGGGGCTGATTGCAGGTGGTGTATTTAAGGGATGGCCAGACCTGCAGTCAGTGCCTTATTGTACTGTTTGCTTGGCCCTGGTTTCCTGATCCTGTTACTTCTGTCCTGACTCTGCTTGAACTCTGCCTGTACTGACCTCGGCTAGTCCTGACCACTCTCCCCGCCTGCTCCTGGTACTCCGTTTGCCCGTTTGCTACCGACCTGGCCTGTCTGACTACTCTTGTATTGTATGTTTGTTATCTGTTGGAGGTTTGGTTCAGTTTGTTTGCACTGTGTTTATGTTTTGCACTGCGTTTGTATTGTTAGTCTTAATAAATTATATTATTTACTATATCTGAAGCCTGCGTTTCCCTGTGTCAGTCCACACACTTCTGGTCATACCCGCATCCCTGACATTACAACAAGGCCATTCCTGACCAGAAGTGGCTGCACAGGGAAGCCATCTTGGCTTGTTGCTGGGAAGGATGCATCTTGATGAGGTTGTGTATTTGTCGCTGCTGGTCTTTGATGACAGAGAGTATGCTTATCAGACTCTGAAGGAGTATACCCGGGATCAACTACTAGAATGTATACGGGTCGCTCATGTTCTAGTAGATCAGGGCTCTGATCAGGGCTCTGAGGTGCAACCTTTGATTCAGGTTTGTGCAGAGTTGGCTTCATCTGGTACCCCTGAAAGCAGGAATGACTTTTTGCCACCATTTAGTGCAGACCAGGTAGAGTCCCTGGTATGGTTATTAGAGGACGATATGGATTGCTTCTTGGAGCATTATGCTGCATGTTCACAACAGGTATTAAGGGTTTGTCTAAACGCAGTGCAGTCTTTGACCAGACAGGCTTTGTGTAAGCTGAGCTTTGTTCAACCCATACTGCAGACATGGTCAGACTTGTTGCACCCAGCCTCAGTCAGCTTACAACGTCATTCCTCCGCTCAAGGCACTCTTCCTGCATCCCCGACAGCACCCCCAGTGACGGCCCAGTATACTCTGCTAACTACCACATATCAGCCCCCTGCTCCCACTCGCTGCACCTATCCTGCCTTTAACCCTGTAAAGAAGTCCTCTGTAGCAACTGCTCCCTCCTCTGTTCCATCCTCCAGCTCTTCTCTGTCTTCAGCTGCTCCATCCATTTACAAACCTGCGCTTACTTACAGTGCTCTGGTAACTAAAACCAGGAAAAGGCAAAAAAAATTCTTTCCAACCAATACCATCCTGCCAGTATCCAAACCGGTCAGCCTGCCATCTGAGAACCCGCCTTCTGTGGTGCAGCCTGGTGCCTCGGTGCCCACAATTCAGCCTGATGTCTCTACCCAGCCTGATGTCTCTACCCAGCCTGATGAACTGATCCAGCCTGATGATCCTATTATGCCAGGTGACTCGGTGCCTACTGTCGAGCCAGACGATCCAATGCCTGACGACCCGGTACCCGCTGTCGAGCCAGATGACTTAGTGCCCACTGTCGAGCCAGATGACCCGTACCTGCGGTCGAGCCAGATGACCTGATGCCAGATGACCCGATGCCCGCTGTCGAGCCAGATGACCCAATGCCTGATGACCCAACGCCCGCTGTCGTGCCTGGTGACCCTATGCCCGCTGTCGAGCTTGACGACCCGATGCCCGCTGTTCCGCCAGATGACTCGGTGACCGCAGTCTTGCCAGATGACTCGGTGCCCGCAGTCTTGCCAGATGATTGATGCCCGCTGTTCCGCCAGATGGCTCGGTGCCCGCACTCTTGCCAGATGACTCGATGCCCGCTGTTCCGCCAGATGACTTGGTGCCCGCCAGATGACTTGGTGCCCGCAGTCTTGCCAGATGACTCCCGCTGTGCCCGCTGTTCCGCCGGATGACGCGGTGCCCGCTGTTCCGCCAGATGACTTGGTGCCCGCTGTCTTGCCAGATGACTCGGCGCCCGCTGTCTTGCCAGATGACTCGGTGCCTGCTGTCGAGCTTAAAGACCCGATGCCCGCTGTTTTGCCAGATGGCTTGGTGCCCGCAGTCTTGCCAGATGACTCCGAGCCCGCAGTCTTGCCAGATGACTCGATGCCCGCTGTTTGCCAGATGACTCGATGCCCGCTGTTCCGCCAGATGACTCGGTGACCGCCGCTCTTGCCAGGTGACTCGGTGCCTGCTGCTCCGCCTGGTGGCCCGGTGCCCGCTGTTCCGCCAGATGACTTGGTGCCCGCCAGATGACTTGGTGCCCGCAGTCTTGCCAGATGACTCGATGCCCGCTGTTCCGCCGGATGACTCGGTGCCCACAGTCTTGCCAGATGACTCGGTGCCCGCAGTCTTCCAGATGACTCCGAGCCCGCAGTCTTGCCAGATGACTCGGTGCCCGCTGTTCCGCCAGATGACTCGGTGCCCGCAGTCTTGCCAGATGACTCGGTGCCCACAGTCTTGCCAGATGACTCGGTGCCCGCAGTCTTGCCAGATGACTCGATGCCCGCTGTTCCACCAGATGACTCGGTGCCTGCAGTCTTGCCAGATGACTCGGTGCCCGCAGTCTTGCCAGACAACTCGGTGCCCACAGGCTTGCCAGACGACTCGGTGCCTGCAGTCTTGCCAGATGACTCGACGACTCGATGCCTGCTGTTCCGCCAGATGACTCGGTGCCCGCAGTCTTGCCAGATGACTCGGTGCCCGCAGTCTTGCCAGATGACTTGGTGCCTGCAGTCTTGCCAGATGACTCGATGCCCGCTGTTCCGCCAGATGGCTTGGTGCGCGCAGTCTTGCCAGATGACTCGATGCCCGCTGTTCCACCAGATGACTTGGTGCCCGCCAGATGACTTGGTGCCCGCAGTCTTGCCAGATGACTCGATGCCCGCTGTTCCGCCGGATGACTCGGTGCCCACAGTCTTGCCAGATGACTCGGTGCCCGCAGTCTTGCCAGATGACTCGGTGCCCGCAGTCTTGCCAGATGACTCGGTGCCCGCAGTCTTGCCAGATGACTCGGTGCCCACAGTCTTGCCAGATGACTCGGTGCCCGCAGTCTTGCCAGATGACTCGATGCCCGCTGTTCCGCCAGATGACTTGGTGCCCGCTGTCTTGCCAGATGACTCGGCGCCCGCAGTCTTGCCAGATGACTCGGTGCCTGCTGTCGAGCTTAAAGACCCGATGCCCGCTGTTTTGCCAGATGGCTTGGTGCCCGCAGTCTTGCCAGATGACTCCGAGCCCGCTGTCTTGCCAGATGACTCGTGCCTGCTGCTCCGCCTGGTGGCCCGGTGCCCGCTGCTCCGCCTGGTGGCCCGGTGCCGCTGCGCCTGGTGGCGCCTGCTGCTCCGCCTGGTGGCCCGGTGCCTGCTGCTCCGCCTGGTGGCCCGGTGCCCAGCCTGATGTGCCTCTGTCCGGTGCCCACCCTGATGTGCCTCTGTCCGGTGCCCAGCCTGATGTGCCTCTGTCCGGTGCCCAGCATGATGTGCCTCTGTCCGGTGCCCAGCCTGATGTGCCTCTGCCCGGTGCCCAGCCTGATGTGCCTCTGCCCGGTGCCCAGCCTGATGTACCAGTCCTTGATATCCCGCCAATTACCGGATCCAGGCGGTGGAACATTTTGCCCATTTAGGACGGTTTGGAACGTCCTGAGGCCGCTCCTTGAGGGGGGGGTACTGTCAGGAATGGAGATTTTCTATTTAAATGTATTATGAGCATACATATCCATCCTTAACTTATATATAAAAGTACAAAATATAATGAATTCCTCCAATTTGTTCCATCTTGTATGGCGACTCTCCATCTTATATTCATTCAAATGATAAAGTTCCTCCAATTTACATATGTGATCCACCCTATCCACCCAGTCTTTTATTTTCGGCACCTCCTGTCTCCTCCAATACTTGGGTATCAGTCCCTTTGCTGCATTCAAATAGTACAATAAACCAGATTCTTTGTATTTTTTAACTGAAAGCTTAGTACTATGAAAAAGGCAAACCTCTGGGTCTACTAGAATAGACCTCTGTAATTTTCTGAATCAAGCTTACTATTTTCCCCGAATAGTCTTGTATTTTAGAACACTGCCACCATATGTGATACATTGTGCCTCTACCTCCACATCCACGCCAACATAAAGATGAATTATCTCTGCTCAATCTATGTGCCACACTCTGTGTGATCTACCATCTTGCCAAACACTTATAATTCATTTCTACCTCCTGCATATTTATATTTCCGTGGATTATTCTATACATTTTCCTCTATTTTTTGCATCTATTCTAACAGATTTTAACCCAGCTTTTCCCCTCTGCATTATATGTCCAGTCAAAAATTCTCGCCATTATTACCGAGTTATAATATATTTTTAAATCTGGGACTCCCAATCCTCCTTTCTCTTTATTTCTACATAAAATTTCCTGGCTTATTCTCGGTTTTTTATTCCTCCAAATAAATCTTAATGTCACGTACCCGATGGGAGACTGAATTGACGAGGTCGGCCTCACTTGTGTCACTAGCCCTGACCCTGCTGAGGGTGGAACAGAGGGAGTCTAGGGACCAGGGGGACAAGAGCGCCAGTGGTTGTTGCTTGTGGCTCTTGCAGATGATGACCTTGGTAGGCAGAGTATCTTCTGATTTGGGCACCATAGAAATAGACCAGGCAGGTTCAGTGGATTGCCAGATGTGCAGCAGAGCAAGGTAGGTAGCCAGGACACAGGATTGGAGCAGAGTCATAGGATAGCCAGGGTCATAAACAGTAGGGCAGCGCGGTACAGAATCAGAAGGAGAAGCCAAAGTCAGGAGCGGAGCCAAAGTCAGGAACCAGGAACAGGAGAGCAATCTGAGTCGGGTCAGGAACAAGCCAGGTCAGCAACAAAGGAATAGTACAGGAACAAGCAGGACACAGGGGGAGCTAAAGACCAGTCACCACTGAATCTGAGCAGAGTCACTCCTTAAATGGCCCGTCTGGCACCAGTCTTCGCCGTACGCATGCACGTGTGCGTGCATGTGTGCGATTGCGCATTCCTGCGCGCCTGCGCACAACCGGCAATTCTTCTGCGGAATCTCCTTTGCGCATGCGCGTTCCCAATAGCGATTCTTCGTGCCAGAAATACCTCAAATTGCCACCCCTTAGGTGCAGCCTCCGGATGCCCACTATGGCTCATTTCTCAGGATGACGATGAAGATAGGCTTGAACTATCCGTGGGGCATGGACATTAGTGGATGGTTCCCAGGAGTTATCCTCTTGTCCATAACCTTTTCATTTGATGAGGAACTGAGTCTGTCCGCCTCTCTTCCTACGATTCAAGATAGCCTCAACCTCGTACTCTTCATTTCCCTCAATCAGCAGTGGAGCAGGCGCCTCCGAATTCCGGTTGGGAAACCCACTTGGGATATGTGGTTTTAACAAGGAGCAATGGAATACCGGGTGAATCTTCAAGTTAGCAGGTAGTTCCAATTCAAAAGCCACAGGGTTCACCTTTCTCTTGATGGTAAATGGTCCCAGGTATCTTGGACCAAGCTTCCTTGACGGACAACTTAATTTCAGATTAGCCGTGGATAGCCAGACTTTATCCCCTTGTTTCAAGTTGCCCCTTCTCTTCCTGTCAAATTCTTCTTGCTCGCCTGAGCTTCAGAAATCGTATTCTGTAATACTTCGCCGTTCCTCCTGAGGCACTCTATCCCCTCTTGTACTGCTGGAACAGTGGCCTCCACAGGTATTTCCGGAAGAAAGGAGGGATGGTATCCGTAGTTAGAGTAAAAGGGAGATTGCTTGGTGGCGAAATGGATGGAATTATTATACGCAAATTATGCTAATGGGAGGAGTGATGCCCAGTCATCCTGTGAATATGAGGAGAAGCATCAGAGATATTGCTCCAGAGTTTGGTTTGTCCTTTCCGTTTGTCCATTTGTTTGCGGGTGATAAGCAGAGGAAATGCGTAACTCGATCTCTAATGCCTCACACAGAGCTTTCCAAAATTTGGATGTGAACTGCACTCCTCGATGAGACACAATATTCAGGGGAGCGCCATGTAGTCTTACGATCTCCTTGATGAAAGCGGAGGCAGTTTCTTTGGCAGAAGGAGTCCCTTTCAAGGGAATGAAGTGGGCCATTTTGGACAGGCAATCAATTACTACAAAAATAGTGGTAAATCCCTCAGATGGGGGAAGTTCAATAATAAAGTCCATGGAGATCATAGTCCAAAGTTTTTCCGGTATGGGCAAGGATTCCAACAGGCCCCAAGTCTTGGCTTTATCAGACTTGTTCCTCAGGCAGACTGTGCAAGATCTCACATAGTCCTGGCAATCCTTTACTGTGTTTGGCCACCAGAAAGAGCAAGAGACCAAATCTGAAGTCTTGTGAATCCCAAAGTGACCTGCTAAGGGATGGTCGTGACATCTCTGGAGAATAAGAGTCCGAAGTTCTCCGGGCACAAAGATTTCTTCCTTGTGGAAGTACAGACTGTCCTTTAATTGCAGGTGCATATTTATGGGAGGTGGATGATTATCCACGGCTTCTTTTATTTGCATTACAAGGTCTGTCTGGAGAAGTAAGACGTTTTTGGCTGGTAAGATCGTGTCGGGTTCAGACTGCACATATGGGTCGGGAAACATACGGGAAAGTGCGTCAGGTTTACCATTCTTTGATCCAGGATGGTAGGTCAGATGGAAGATGAAGTGAGAAAAATAGTGCCCATCTTGCTTGTCGTGGCCTGAGGCATTTTGCTGTTTTCAGATACTCTAGGTTTTTGATCCGTGAAGATGAGAATAGGATGGTGCTCCCTCCAATAAGTAGCGCCATTCTTCCAATGCTGCCTTGATGGCTAGTAACTCTCTGTCTCCCACATCATAATTCCTTTCAGAAACACTTAATTTCCGGGAGAAGAAAGCGACAGGGTGCAGAAGGGATTTGAGTCCCTGTCTTTGTGACAATAAGGCTCCTACCGCGTTCTCCGAAGCGTCCACTTCAAGGACAAAAGCTAGAGCAGGGTCCGGATGCTTCAGGATGGGTGAGGACGTGAACATGGTTTTTAATTGCTCAAAGGCTGTTTGGGCCTCAGGAGTCCACTTGAAGGGAATATGCTGCCTGGTGATCTGTCACTGGTGCGATGATTCCAGAGAAGTCCTTGATAAATTTCCTATAGAAATTTGCGAACCCTATAAAGCACTGCACTGCTTTCCTGTCTCCTGGAATGGGCCATTCTAAGACGGCCGACACCTTTTGGGGGTCCATAGAGATGCCCTCAGAAGTGATCACAAGCCCAAGGAACTGGATGGATTGCCTCTCGAATTTGCATTTCTCGGCCTTTGCGTAGAGGCGATGCTGGCGTAGTCTATCCAGAGTTTTATTTACGTGATCCCGATGATTTTCTATGGAACTGGAGAAAACCAGGATGTCGTCCAGATAAACGATTAGAAATAGATCCAGATAGTCCCGAATTATATTGTTTACCAGGTGTTGGAAGGTTGCTGGGGCATTACAGAGACCAAAAGGCATTACCAGATATTCAAAATGCCCAAATCGGGTTCGAAAGGCCGTTTTCCATTCGTCACCTTCACAAATTCTCACTAGTTTGTAAGCGCCCCTCAGGTCCAATTTTGAGAAAAAACATGCTCCTCGCAGCCTTTGAAATAATTTGGGGATTAGAGGAAGGGGATAACGGTTCTTAACCGTTATTTTGTTTAGGTCACGGTAGTCTACACAAGGTCTCAGAGTGTGATCCTTTTTCTCAACAAAGAAGATGCCGGCTCCTGCTGGTGATGTAGAAGGCCGAATAAACCCTTTTTCCAAACTTTCATCTATATACCCCCGGAGGACCTCTAATTCGACTTCAGATAAGGGGTAAATTCTACCGAAAGGAATTTCGGCGCAGGGCAGGAGCTCATGGGACAATCATAGGATCGATGAGGAGGAAGGGTGTTGGCACTCTTTTTATTGAACACGTCCAGATACTCGTGATATACCACAGGAACAAGTTTCATGGTCTCAGGATCAGAGTGAATACTGAGAAGGGGAGTCGTCACACTTGTCTCTTGAGGAGTACGGTGAGTCAGACAATATTCTGAAGGGAAGAAGATTTCTCCAGACAACCAATTGAAGGTTGGATTGTGTGCTCTTAGCCAAGGCATGCCGAGAATAACTGGAAAAATTGGGGAGGTGATAATATCCAGACATAGGAATTCCTGGTGTCCTGAAGGAGAGTAGCAGAATATTGGTATGGTTTCTTGTGTTACAGGGCCAGAACTGATACCAGACCCGTCTGCCAGATGAACTGCAAGTCTTTGTGCTTTGGTACGGCGTGGAATCTGATACTGAGTATCTAAGTGAGCATCCATAAAACAGCTACAAGCACCCGAGTCTATGATGGCCGGGACTGTGATTGTCCTTTCGGCCAGTTGTAGTTGCAGATGAAAAGAGAGGTGCGTTCGGCTTGTCCCTTGAGGGTGCATCATGTAGAAACAGTTGGGAGATGGCTTATGAGATTTTATCGGGCAGGTAGCCACGAAATGACCTGCCTCACCACAGTAGAGGCAGAGGTTG